TGACCAAGTCTCTTTCATTGTAAAGCTACTAATGTCATCATGGGGTGTCCTCCCTCATGACCACAACTAACCCGATTAGTTCCCAAAGGCCCCACCTTGAAATACCATCAACATGGGAAATTGGAGATTAAATCTTCAGAGGACACATTCAGAACACATTGCCACCCACCTCCACTTTAATTAGCTGAAGAACCTCAGGTCCCCTCCTCCTGCCCAAGCCAAGCACCCAGACTGGCTCTCTCTAGCCCATAGGCAGAGCTGGGTGGGGGAGTGCAGGTGGATGTAGAGGTTGCTGCTCTCCGCTAAGCTCCCCCTTCCTCCCTCCCCACTCTCACTGCTCCACACCTGCTGCCCGGGGTCCAGCAGGGCCTCCCTCCCTGTCCTTCAGCACTGTATGAGCATTGGGGCCAGAGTTCTCGGCTCTTTTTTCTCCAGCAATGCCTGTGATCTGCCTTCCAGCTTCCTAAACTACAGTGAAGTGTCCCCTTGTACTGTGCGCTCCCCTCCCACTGTCTGTAATCGGGGTAATTTTTTTTCTGCAGCATAATTTTTCCATGCACTTTGGTTGCCCTGAACCATTTTGAAGACTGGTTCAGGTGAGCCAAGCAGTGTTCAAGACAGACTCTCCCAAACATCAGCCCAGGATGACTGAGCCAGGCTCCATATGGACTTACTAAAATCTCAAAGCCCCAGAATCCTCTTTATCTGGTCCAGAGTAGGCTCTGGAAATGGAGTTCTAATTTTTTCCTGGGTGACTCAAAGAACCTTCATCCTTGAGGGTCCCAATGTGAAGGATCGGAGGTGGTGGTCGACACTTGTGAGGTGAACAGTGTCCCCTACGCATTCATGTGCTGAAATCCTAACCCCCAGGAGCTCAGGATGTGCCTGCATTTGGAGACAGGGTCTCTGAAAAGCCAACTCCATTGAAATGCTTGTGCAGATGGGACCTAGTCCAGTGTGACGGGTGTGCTTAGTACAAAAGATCAAGACACAGACACACAGGGAGGGATGAGCTGGTGAGAACACAGGGAGAAGACGCCATCTCCAAGCCCAGAAGAATGGCCTCAGGAGAAACCAGCCCTGTGACACCTTGGTCTCAGATCTCCAGCCTCCAGAACTGAGAAGAAATAAACTTCTGTTGCTTATGCTGTCCTGTTTGTGGTATTTTGGTACAGCAGCCTGAGCTGCTAACCAAGCTGCTAACCAACTCCCTAACCAAGTGACCTTTACAACATGCACAGAACTGCAGGGTGGGCACTGGCCCTGAGATGTTTAATGTTCAGATTGGCAGACCAGACTTTCAGGCTCTAGTGAGTTATTAGGCTGGAAAACCCCCGGCTAAACAGTGCTTGCTTTTGCTTATATTACAGTTACAAAGTGTTTGTGTCAATCATACTTGAAAACATTTGTTGCTCATAGAAAAGTAGACACTCTGTAGATGAACACATTTGCTTTAACCCCGAGACAGATCATATTCAGAATCAGCAGTTTTATTGAATTTCTAGCCTTCAAGGGGCTTTTTTAGGGTGTGCTTTGCAGACTTCCTTCTACTCAGCCTTGCAGTTCAATTCCACAAGTGGATGCTGGGCTCCACCAGCTTATTAATCACTCCACTCAGCACTGAAGCCATTTAAATGAAGCTGTCACCATGGTCATTTGGCACAGAATCATCAGACCAGTGAAAGCACTGTGTGCAGAAGCCACAGAGACAGGAAGGCAGGGCTGAGACCCCAGTTCTATGGGAGGCGTGGTGGATATGGGATGGGGGGCAGAGTGTACAAGTGGCTGTTCCTGGTGAGGCCATCATGCCCAGGGGTTGCTTGGAGGAAGATGAGTCAAAGGACAGCTTGGGATGAGGGAATAAAAGGGAGAGGACAGAAGGCCTCAGGGGCACCTACTTCCACTCTTACCCTCTTTCTGACTGAAGAATGCTTTGGGGGCCATAGTCCCAGCAGTTCCTCAACCACCTTCAGGGAGAGGAACTTAGAGAGCTGAGCAGTGTTGAAACCAGGAAGTGCTTAGTAAAAAGAAGATCTTTATCTGAGCCCTAATTTATGAGCACTCTGACACAAGTGGGCTTTAAGCGAGGCCAGCAATCTGAAAGTCACGTTGGTAGAATGAAAGCCAGTTCTCTGTCTGCCCATGAGGAGCAGCGCCAACCCCCTCACGCTGAGGGCATGCTTTGGGGAAGTGCCATTCTGTGTTGTAAACATGCCACACTGGCCATGCTGGTGTTTTGATTTTGCACACTTTGTTTCCTATTCTACAATGCAGACCACTGGGCCTTTTCACTGTGGTGCTGGACAGAAAGATCAGGACCTTGCTTCTCAGTCATGCCGGATGAGCTGCAGCCACATCCCCACCCCTGTTATAGGTGGGAAGAGAAACCAGGGAGGAATTAGGTAGAGGGACGGCTGCTTCCTGGACATCTCCTAGCTGAGACTCATCAGATAAGCAAGTGATTCCTCTCTTTGCTGAAGCTGATTCACTCACATAGGACTTCGGACCTGACACACTCTGTGCCAAGTGGCAGAATATGAAATTTAGAAGAATCTGGGATTCATAGTCCCAAATGGGTGAAGACAGGGCCCCCAGGTGTTACCTCTTCTCCTGGAGGAGTCAAGCCTCTAGCAGACCCAAGCTGACCACCTTTGGAATGGATTCCACTTCTCAGCTTTATTCAGAAACCTGGGAAGAAAATGCCAGAGTTGGGGAGGCAAAGGGGGCATCCTCCTGCCTTCTGTCACAGCAGGCTTCCCTTCAAACTGGCTGAAGAAGGCTGGACTTCAAATTGTTTAAAACAACAAAACCTAAAACAGAAAAGAGCCTTTGTGACTGAGACCAGAGGTTCAGGGCAGATAAAGGTCAGAAATTGTGCCCCCTTGTGGGTTATAAAAGGCAAAAAATCTGTGCTTACCTGGAGTCAGCATGAGTAAGTGACAAGATGGCTAGGATGCTGGGGCCTGAGAAGACCCTAGAAATCAAAGTGGAAGCCGAGAAGGGCTCAGCCATCAGATGAGCAGGTAAAAACCTGGAGGGCAGAAGAAGGTGAGAACAGGGTTTCACTAAGTCGCTAATTTGCCCAGGCTGTGCTCAAACTTGCTTCAGCCTGCTGGAGCTCTGGGATTACATGTGTGTGCCACAATATTCAGCTTCTAGGTCACTCTTGTACCAAAGATTGTATACAGCTCCTGTTAGACACTGCCACCTACAACTGCTGCTTCCCCCAGGCCTCCTGCAGGCCCTAGGGGCATAAAGCAGCCCCCAGTCTTGCTCCTAATGCTCAGGGGCTTTGCTGCCCCTGCTTGGCTCCCCTCTGTGAATTATCCCACCACAGCCAGGATCCTCACTGTCACATGGTGATGGAGACCACTATGAAGCCACTCTGAGTAGTATTTATTATTAACCAATTTGCTTTCCATGTTTACTTGTGAATTGTCTGAAGCTTAGGCACCTTGTCTGGGGATGGGCATCGGACTCATAGTAAGTGAACCTCTATGAGTTACTGGTTGCCCCTGAGGCCTGTATTGACCTGTGAAGTTGTGATGCCTCAAAGGACAAGATAAGGTCACAGCTGAGGATGTTTGGCTCCAACCCCAGTTAACTAAAAGGAGACTGCAGCTGCAACTTTCACACTCCTACAATATATACCAAGCTAAAGATAAGGTAGTTCTCCTGATTGATGTAATTTACTACTTGGGAAGAGATTTCCCAAGGTCCTACTAGATTCCTGCATTTTCTTGAGTGACCTACTCCTTTGTTTGAAAACCTAATAAATACAGGCTGCCCAGAGAAGTCTTTGTCTTAACCCAGAGAATCTCAAATTCTGTAAGAGAGTTAGACCCTCCTGGAGCCCTACAATCATTTCAATTGTCTCATTTATTTAAGCCTTTGCCATCCACTCATTTGGGAGACTGTGAGCCTGATCAGCCAGAAATAACTAATGGTTATTAACCCAATAACATGGGTGTGCTGGAGACCTTAGGAACATTTTTGTCACCTAAGATAATTATGCCTGAACACTCACATCATGAAATATAAATTATTTTATTTATCTTATATTTTCAATCACAGAATAATGTTGATTATTTTGGACCATGTGTATAAATTGCTTATAACAGCAATGCATTTATTTTCAGAGAGTGCATATAGTGTTTCAAAACATCTTTACAGTAGGCCAGAGAGGGGTGGTATCTAACTATTACTGAACTGGAGATTTGGCCCCTTTATTTCCCGTAAGATCCTAGGATGTTTATAAAGTATTTATGCCTTCCTAAATTCCAGCTGTCCACACTAAGGAAGAGACTTTGCTTAGGCCCTGAGGCAGTCTAGATTTTTCTTTTACCTTCTCCCTGGAGAAGGGTCATCCTTCATCTACTCCAGCCCCATGCACAACCAGTACCTGTTCAAAGATGACCTATACCTGTTACAGAATCTAAGAGCTGGGGAGAGACCACTGGGAAGTAGGATTTTAATTACGTGCATCTGACTTAGCTGGACTTCTGTCCAAAGGACTCAGCACCAAACAAAAGAAAGGCTCCAGGTTTTATACATGTGGCCTGGGGTTGGTCTGTTCATGGCACAAAAGTGGGTGAGGTTACAGATAAAGGTAATTAATTACTCATGTAATGACAGTTTGCAACTTAGCCTTGGAAGAAAAACAGAATCTTTTGAATCTTGTGAGGGCAGGATATCATAAACCTGGATGCTGCAGATGCCCCAGTGTGTTACAACACTGTTTCTTCAGGACTATAATTGTTGTTCTTATCAGGAACAGTGCAGAGGTCAACCTTGAAGGAAAAACAAGTCCTAGTGGGAACAGGATGCCACAGGACTCTGTTTATAGGAATATGGCTGTTAACCTTATCTGTAACTTGAAGAGATATGTACTTTCAGGGAGGGAAGTTCAGGGAAAAATTAGCTTAATTTTCTTCTGAGTTCTACTTTATATCAGTGTGGGGACAAGCACTTTCTAGCAGGATAAAATCAATCCAATATTTCTTAAATCATGACTGTGGGAGGGAAGGGAGGAAGCCACCCTTGAGCACCTGTAGGATGTGCTCTACACCTTGCATGATCTCGTCTCGACCAGTATTCTGCCGTTTCCTCCCTAGTCCATCCCAATACTTGACAGCTTGCATAGTAACAAAGCAATGTCCCTCTTTGGCCACCTCCCAATACCAGCTCCAGTCATCTAGTGCTCACTGCTGTGTCATAAGCTCCAAGACCTTCCTGGATCACCAAGGATCACAAGAAATGTTTAAATTGATGTATGGTCAATGCCATTTGGTGCTTGAGAATCTGAGGGTTGGAGTAGTCACAAAACTGGGACAACCAGTTTCGTATACCAGCCTGGCCAGATGATGGTGCCCTGTTGTTCAGTCAAACCCTTGCCCAGATATTGCTGTGAAAATATTTAAAGATGTGACTGATATATATAATCAGTAAACTTTGACAGGACCAAAGGGGGTGGGCAATGTGCAATTAGCTGAAGGCCTTAAAAACAAAATAGGAAATCTTTTTTCTTCCTTTCTTCTTTCTTTCCTTTCTTTTTCACTTTTCTTTCTTTTTACACCACAGGGGATCAAATTCAAGGCCACAGAACTACACTGTCAACCATTTTTAATTTCTTTTTATTTTATTTTTTGAGATAGGGTCTCAATAAGTCAATAAGTTGCTCAGACTAGACTCAAATTTGTGATCATCAGCCTCAAGGACTGCTGCAATCATAGGCTTAAAACTATACCCTACCTGATTAACTTTTTTATCTGTATTTAATTAATAAATTTAATTGGGGCACTTCTGAGGATTGAACTCAGGACCTTTGCACTGACCTACTCCTTAACTCTTTTTTTTTTTTCAGTTGTATTTCCTTCTCATGGATTTCTTTTTTTTTAATTAAGTTTTTTGGCACAATTTAGATATACGTAATGATCATATTCATCATAGGAAATTTGTACCTGTAAGTGATATATCTTGATTGCTCCTTTTTTCCCAGGCTCCTTCTTTTAGTCCCTCCCCTCCTTATTTAAAAAGCTTTGTTTTCATTTTATCCTGCTTTTATTGTTTTTTTCTTTTCTCTTCTTTCCTTTCCCCCCTCTCTCCTCCCTAGTTCCCATTTCTTTTTAACAATTTTCTCCTATTTCACAATACCTTTTATACATTTTTGGTTTCTTACACCAGAGAAACAACCTGATATTTACACATGTGTGTCTGATTTATTTCACTTAAGAGTATGGTCTCAAGGTATATCTATTTACCCAGAAATATCTCATATCCACCCTTCTTTATGACTGAATAATACTCCATTAAATAAAGAAAACACATCTTTGGAGGGTGGGCCCCCAGTGCACGGGGAGCCTCGGGCGGGAAGCACCGGTCTCTGGGGTCTTGGGACTGGCGACTCACTCCCAGCCTCATCGTTCCCCGGAAGGAGGGCTTCCGGCGCACAGGGAGCCTCGGGTGGGGAGCGCCAGTCTTCTGGCTGGCTAGCTTCCTGCCTGGTGGCTCCCAGAGGGTGGGCCACAGCGCATGGGGAGCCATGCGGCAGC